GTGTTGTTTGATGTTCTAGGTAACTGCAACCGACCCAGACAAAGACGCCGCCCAAGAAGCCCTCAGGTACTCCCTGCATGGTCAGGGGGCAGAGAATGAATTTATCATCGATGGGGTGACGGGCAAGATCTATGCCCAGAAGACTCTGAACCGGGAGGAGCGGGCCGTCTGGCGTTTCGTGGTGCTGGCAACAGACGAAGGCGGCGAGGGTCTGACCGGCTTCACGGACGTCATTATTAACGTGTGGGACATCAATGATAATGCGCCCATCTTCACCTGCATGCCAGAGAGCTGCCATGGCCATATACCAGAAAACTCCCCTCCTGGATCCTCCATCATGGAGATGGGTGCCACTGACATGGACGACAGTACCGTGGGACAGAACGCCATACTGACCTACAGGATCGTGGGAAACGTTCGAAATAGCGCAAACATGAACTTGTTTGACATTAACGCAAACACTGGCACTCTCTTTGTGGCACAGGGCGGCCTTGATCGAGAGAAGGTTGATCAGTACCTGCTGGTGGTAGAGGCTAAAGACGGGGGAGGCATGGTGAGCACAGCCACAGCTACCATATGGGTGACCGATGTCAATGACCACGCCCCCAGGTTCCTCGAGAGCTCCTGTGCTGCCCGGGTCTCTGAAAATAGTGAGGTAAATTCAGCAGTCCTGGAGGTGCTGGCCATAGATGAAGACACAGGGGAGAATGCCCAACTGACGTTTAGCATTGTAGGCGGGGACCCAGAACAAAGGTTCTACATTGTTAGCCACCGGCAGGAGCAACGTGGGACACTAAGGCTAAAGAAAAAGTTGGACTATGAAAAATCAAATGAGCAGAGGTTCAACCTTACCCTCAAGGTGGAGGACCTGGACTTCTACAGCCTAATCCATTGCATTGTGGATGTTGATGATCATAATGACCATGCCCCTGTTTTTGTCCCCCATTTCTATTTGCTGGAACCATTAGCTGAAGATGTGCCTGTTGGCACCAGCATTGTCAAGGTCACAGCCACAGACTCAGACTCTGGTCCAAACCAGGAGATAATCTATAGCATTCTGCCAGATTCTGATCCGTATGATCAGTTTTCAATAGACCAGACTGGAATTGTCACTGTTGTCCGGCCACTGGACAGAGAGACTGTGGAGCAACATTTCTTAATCATCTTAGGAACAGACCAAGGAAATCCACCCCAGACAGGCAGTGCCACAGTTCAGGCGGATCTGCTAGATGTCAATGATAATGGCCCCGAGTTTGAAGTAGAGTACATGCCAGTGGTGTGGGAGAATACACACGGTCCCCAGGTTGTGCAGATGAATCAGACGTCAGTGCTGCTGCATGTAGTAGATAGAGACTCCTTTGAAAATGGGCCACCATTCTCCTTTTCGCTTCCCATGGAGTACCGAGACAGCGGGGACTTCTTCCTACAAGACAATGGCAACAATACAGCCACAATCACAGCGCTGCATGTGTTTGACCGTGAGAAGCAGAAGGAGTTCTATCTGCCCATCATAATGAAGGACAGTGGCCGACCTTGTAAAACCGTTACCAGCACGCTCACCATCGCCATCGGAGACAAAAATGATCATCCGCACCTGCCTGGAGAGAAGGAGATCTACATCCATAGTAACAGAGGTGAGACCTGACTGTGTCCCTCCATTGCTGGAGGTGTTGTTTTGGGAAAACTTTCCTGTCATCAGAATAAGATGAAATAATAAATAGACGCATTGGAGATTTTTTTTAAGTAATTTAATTTTTTCTGTTCTTTCAGTAATTTCATATTTTTCAGCTACCTTTACTCACCACAAGGCAGACACTTAAGCTCTTCTGAGAACACTCTCCAAAAATAAGTGTTGCTGTCTTTGTCGCTTAAAAGTGTTGTTAAAGTAAATGGTGAAGGTAACTACAATAGATTCATTGGAACATTTTTTTTTTTTTGCAAAATGCTGTTTGCCATTATGTGATCATGTTTTTTTCTTTCTTAAAAGCTCTTCTGTAAGTTGGTCCTAATGTGTGCTCAAGTTTTAAGTGTTTACTGGATAACGTTGACAAAGTTGAGGTCACTTGTAAACTTAGAATAAAAAAACACACTATTCCCCCCAAAATAAGATAAATATCTTGTTTTTCCCTCAACAGGAAGGATGCCAACCACAGTTTTGGGCAAAGTTTATACCCTGGACCCGGATGATTGGGATAACAAGACATATGCCTTTGAGGGACACATCCCTGGGTAATATTTTTTATTTTCCAACGGTAAAATGTGGCAGCACCATCTATTATTATATACGTCAGCCTCATTCCCTAAAGACTTTGAAATGTCTCACCTATGTCACAGAGACTTGCAGGCCAGACCTAATGAGTGTACAATCCGTGTAGTAAACAGACATCCCTGCATTCATAGAAACTGAGGGGCAAAATCCAAGAGAAAAGAAAAGAGTTCCCGAAGACATTGACACCGACAGTTAGATTCTTAACTTTTTCTGGTGTGATAGCGATGTTATGATCTCATTTTGATCTGGACTTCTCCCCTGTGCTCAACAGGCTCTAAAGAACTCTGGGAAAATTGGTTATTTCACGTTCAGTTTAAATAGTTTTGAACATTTGGTAGTGGATTACCATAAAAGGTTTATTACTTTCCTTTGCTGTCTGTATCATAGCTCTTCTGTGGAAGGAATAACACTTCAATACACACTGGCACGTCAGGGGTTATGATAGTAGCTAAATTGATTAAATTGATGTAGAGCTTTGCCAGATATCTCCCATCTCAACTGAATCTCTTTTCTGAACCTCCATTTTTTGGGCAGTTTTTTCATGCTGAACAAGAGGACGGGGTTTCTGATGATGAAGGACGGCGCCCCCACTGGCAGCTACCAATTCAGGGTGCATGTGTCAGACGGAGTTTGGCCAGACGTTGTGTCCGCTGTGAATGTACACGTGAAGGACCTGTCGGATGAGGCCGTCCACAACTCTGCCTCGCTGCGATTGGCAGGTAAGCCTGACTTGTTACAGGAGAAATGTAATCCTGATATAGGTTTAAGGTTAAATAGGCTGTTTATTGGGGGTTGTCACCTGGGTAGTTAAGAAGTTAGTAAAGAATTTCAGCCTTGTACTGAAAACATGTGATGCCCAAAGTAATATTACATCCAGGGCACCACTAGAAATTTTGGGCTCCTTTGAAAGCATATGTTCCAAATTTGTTAACAGATGCCCTTGTAATCATCCTAACTTGCCCCCCCCCCCCCTTCTAAATAAGCCGCTCTCTACATCAGTTTATTACTTGTCAAATGAATTTATAATCCCAATTCTAAAGACGCGATATGTTCATTCATCACCACGTGCTGTCATCACTTTAAAGCAATACAAAACAAGCTAAAAAAATGTGTCATCACTATGAGCAATATTCCTGCTTATTCATTCACAATGTCGCTCTGAAAATGCATTAAAATACCTTATTCACGGGTTGCTTCTTATGCGTCTTACCTCTAGCAAAAAACTAACTAGTATGTGAAGTTTTGGCAGCAGTCTGGTGAGTGAAATGTAAATACAAAAACACGGGTGAGAAATTAAGGTGTCATTTAGGAATATCTCATTCACTGGAGAAATGAATATCTGTCAATCACAGCTACTAATGCAAATCAACATTAAAGCTGATGGAAAAAAACATGATTTTTAGCACAAACTGACCTTGTATTAATCTGTTCACTTTGAATACTTCACTAAATATAATACATTGACAGAAAAGGCTCACGTTGATGGAGGCGGATCTACGCTCTGGATAGATGTGATTTGGATATAGGGAGGCGGA